ACAGTGGTTTCTAATTTTTTTTTTTTTTTTTCGTACCAGGGATGAATACAGCAGCACTATGGAGCTAAATACCTGGCCTATGGCTTCTAAATTTTTTATGGGAGTACCCCAATTATAAAATACACACCTCCATTTGTATTATTTATAAATTATGTATTATCTACATATTATAGAATACACACTAAAACAGAAATTAAAAAATTAAATGTTTTAAGTATTAGCTATTTAAAATGATTTTTTGATCTTGCAATCACTAAGAATAATATTACCATTAACAGATTACGTGAGAGCACTTTTATTGAATATGTCTCATTTTCTAAAATCTTGCTTTCAAGCTTATGAAGTTCAATCTGTTTTGACACTTGCTTGAAAGGCTGTTGTAAATCACAACTTAAAAACTTAATTTACATACAGCCATAGGTAAATCCACATAGAAGAACATGTTACTAACTTACTAAATCATGATACTGTTTTTCTATCACGAAATATACAAAAGTTTTTAAGTCAGCTAATAAAAATGTGTAATATATCTGAATTCTAAAACTCTTCAAGCTCTTTTATAGTAAACTGCTTTCTGCCATCCCAACAATAAGAATCATAGATTCAATTTTAAGTATTTTTTAAAGTAACTGTATACTACAATAGAAAAGTTGCAAAAACTTTGAGAAACTCAGTGCTGCTATAGGGTCTCTAGGTTACTGAATTCCCTCACTTTCCATCAGCAAGCCACAGGTACTGTGACCACCTACCTGAATGTGGGTCTAGAAGAGCCTCAAATCCAATCCATATAGTAATTCAAGCTCACCCCCTTCCTTTTGGGGCATAAATTTTTTAAAAAGTTCTAGTATTTTTATTCTCCCACCTCAATTCACCTGCCTAACTTCACTTTATAAACTACTGATCTAGTAAAATGGCAATGCTTTTGTAACAAGGTTCTCGCAGTTACAGTTTATAGAATAGCAACACTACATTACCCAAGCATATAATAAACACTGACTGACCAGAATCATTATTATTCAAATGGTGACTGTAAGTCACAAAAAGAAGCTAAACTATATGTAGTATATACTATTTAAACATCTAAGACAGTAATCCAAAACTGTTAGACTGGGATATTTCAAAACACAACCTTCTTGTGTTTAAAAATTCATTCATTTAAATGACATCACTTAATATGTTCAAGTAAACAATTTAGAGAAACAGATTATTAAGCTGTTCAAAATCATACACATACATGTAAAGAGCATTTAGTTTACCCTTTAGCTTCATAAACCTCCCAACCTAAACTTGAGATAAAACATCTAGCAGAAGAAAGTAAAAAGGAACTGTAAGTAACAAAGAAAGTATTTTTGGCATTAAATGTCAGCATACTTTTCTCTATGCTAATAATTTTCTATTCTCTAAATCTTTTTCTAGCATGGCATTTTTTTCCAGGTATAGTTTACATGTTATTTTACTTGGAAAAGTGATAAAAGTTCACTTTGAAAGGAAATTCATTTTAGTAACTTCCTGTCCACAAGAGGGCTCCAATATTTCTTCCATGAATGGAAGAGATAAGGAAAATCACAATTAAAGTGTTCTAGTACTAAGCAAATACAATCTACTAAAAAATCTTAATTGTCATTATCTCTTTTAAACCCAGACTACAAATTGTCACATCTACAACAATTTCTACATGGATTATTTGGAAAGATTCAGAGTTATTAACTGTTTCATAAACTAAAATATTTCAAATAGGTAGCAATGCTTTGCCATTGTCTTCAGTTTCCTTCTGAGTTTTCAACATAATAGATATCAAAAAGTACAATTTTTGATCTAAAGTCCTAAATAGTCCTAAAAGTATAAAACACTTATAATTACAAGAATATATTTCTTGATAACTTTCCCAATCCAAGAAAACAAATTTTTCGTCCACTCAGCCCTAGGTTTTATTTCTAACACTGATAATTATTTTCTTGAACAAAACCTATACTTGTAAACATAAATTATGCTACAATTATACACAATGAATATTGCCCCATAGTAAACTATGGGGTTGGCTTTAAAAAATAAAGGAAATGAATCATTTAAATACAATGTATTGGGGCCAGGGATGTAGATCAGCCCCACCAGCACAAGGCCCTGGGTTCAATTCCTAGTACCAAAAAAGGAAAGTGAAAAAAAAACCAAAAACCTAAAAATAAATAAATAAATACAATGTATTAGAATGATATTCTATTCAGCCATTTTTAGGTATTTTACATGAATGGTGACTAAAAAAGTACCAACTGAAAATTATTTCTTTTTTAAGAATAGAGCAAATCCATTCACTAAAATTGCCACTCTCCTTCAAAAAAAAAAAACCTAAATTTGGATTTTTAAAAATTAGACCCCTTATGATAAGCACAAAATTACTGAATGTTTAAAAATAAATTTAAATGAGTTGTATTTACAATACAAAAACCAATGCTAAAAAATCGTTTACAGTAAGTCACAATCACTGCCATAAGACTACCAAAAACATCAATTAACAATTACCATAGCTCATGAAAAAATTACTGCTAATGAAAACATGATAGGGGTTATAACTTTGTCGTCCCACCTCATCTTCTGAACTGGATTTTCCTACAACTGACAAGCACCATTAAAATGTAAAAAACCATAACATTTGTTTCTAAATAGCAGACTCACTGTCAACCCTTAGAAAGCTTAACATTTCACAGCACCAAGTAAAAATGTATGTATTCATACTTGCAAATTTAGAGGAAAATAACAGTATGTATTCAAATCAATTTAGAGTTATGCTGTGGGAGAAATATTAGTTATGGAAAGACTTGGGAGTCATGAGACCAGCTTTTCAAATTCAGAGTGGTAAATTGTTCTCACTTTGTCAGGAATGTACACTCAATTGCCAATTATTGGTATAAAGTTTAACAAATTAGCATTTAACCAACAACTTCTAACAAAGATTTATATGTCCAAAAGTTGAGAATTCTAAGCATATATCAAAAGAAGGTACTTCTTAAAGCAAAACTGCAATGTAAGTAATAGCAAATGAAGGTTTAAAAGCTTCTGTAAAGAAAAAATTTTAGCCTCCAACAAGTTGAAGATGAGACATAAAAAAATACTCAACACTATAACCTCTGCTTGGACCCCAGCACATACTATGAAATAGCACCATCAGGGCATTATGTTTATTACATAATACTACTTTGCCCTTGCATATCACCTTTAATCAAGGGATCTCAAAGCACCTCAGAATCATCAAGGCCTCAGTATATAGTGTAAACAGATAAAGTTACATTCTTTAACTGCAGCTATCAATAAAACCTTGCCCTACCTCTCAGTCTCCAGGATCCCAAAGGAGCTTCCAATCCCTCTGCCTGACATAGAAATAGTATTCCCACCCCCATCACCTCGATTTGTGACTGTTACGCACATCCGAGCTTTCCTTCATCATCAGGCCTAAAGAAAGTAGTGGCACTATTCTAATGACACTGATCTATTTTATTACAACTGCTGTGGTGGAATAAATGGTACGAAGGTGAACACATCTTGCACGGTGCATGACGATATAAAATGGAGGCTTTAGAGAGAAGCAAATCTTTGCCAGAGGCGATAAGCTCACAGATCACTCATCAAACAGGGGAAATAGCATTTCCAAGCTCTGTCTAGAGACCTCTCCTTGCAACTTCAAGAGCAGTGTGGAGGAAACCATGTCAGCCACTCTTATGAGGCAGGAGATTATACTAGTGTGTGCACATCAAGAGGGAAGTAAAAACTAAAAGGATAATACATGAGTTTGAAGACTCAAGAAGGAAAAGTGTAAAGTTGCTGTGTTGCGACCCCAGAGACAAAACACTGTGGTTCCTCTGCATTTAAATAGCACATTAAATGGGAAATCAAACGTAAGCACAATGTCTTTAAACCAAGGTCAAAATCTGCTGTCTAGCCTCGGTTCTCTTATTTTAAAATCTGTAAACGAGATTTCCTCCTATAGAAATACTTGACGTTTAAAAATTTAATCATCAGCAAAGTTCAGTTTTGTTTTTTTACCGGAATATACAAACACTGAAATGTCAACTTCATAAGTGAGCATAATTACATTAATTTCCATTCTTTCCTAAACAGGATTATTCATCTTCCTCTTAACTGCATCATGTTTGTCCGTAGGACTGCAAAGTGTAATTCCACACTCACACCCCCCTCCCCCAGCTCTGTAAGGCTACACAGTAACTGTTAGTCAACAGACTGACAACCTCAACCTTTGTAAACCCAAAGCAAAAGCGTCAATAAACATGGTTACTTTTTGTTTCAAGTTCTCAACACTCGGTGATCCAGGCGCATTAACACGTTTCATTAGCTTTTCAAAGACTAAAATGTGTACTACTAAATATTTTTCACCACAAAGCCCTGGAAAAAATACATATACACAAGATATTTACATACTAGTATAAATTCTAAAACATCTTAATGTTTCTGTGTCGTACTTTTTCACCAAAACATTTCAAAGAGCTCGCAGTAAATTCTATAGCATACTTTTCTGAAAAGATGAACATCCCTGCTCTTAAAAAATATCAATTGTGTACCTACGTACTAATGATCTCGCCTATGTCACAGTCAAGATTCCCGTTTCCCTGTCTACCTTTGCACCCAGCACGAACGCCCATTCTCAGCTCTGCCCACCTCACTGACGTTTTGGAAGCGTTAAAACACAAGTGCTGAGAGCCTTCAAGGAAACAGGGAGCTTGTTTTCTCCACTTCAAACCCCTGCCACACTTCCTTACTTCCCCTACGGTCTTCGGTGGCTTAGAACACGTAGCCAAGTGAGAAAACCCATATTAAAAACTACTTTTTTTTTTAAGGAGGGAACCAGAAGCGCCAACTTCTCCAAATCTTCCAGCACAGTGCCTTTTCGACAGTTCCCTGCAAACCTTCACGCCTGCTTCCCTTCTGACTGATTAAACAAGACTAGAAACCACAATTAAATCAAAGAGTGTCACAACTTATCGCTCACTTACCATATCCGCCGGGACATTATTGGACATCTTGCCGTTCGGATATATACCCAGATGTTTACGCCGAAAACAAACAAAAAAGAGCAGAAGTCTTCAAGGTACAAAAATGAACCTTCGCAATTCTGACTGGTTCGTGATGTGCTTTCCAAAATAATAATACTAAGTTATTTCGGAGCCAAAGTGCCGGCCTGGCCGAGGTTCTTCTGGTGCGAAGAGGAACAATCCCCAGAAGCTGTGTGGCCGGTGCAAGAGGAAACTCTCAGGACAGCAGCGGCGGACCCCGTCGTCGTCTTCGTCAGTAGCAGCAGTCAGAGGCAGCCCCAGGGCCAGCCGCGCCAGGTGGACCGAGCCGAGTGACACACAGACATGGAGCGGGGTGGGAGGGGGTTAAATCCGCCTTCCTCCTTTCCCAGCCCCGGCAGTGATTCACACTCGCTCCCGAGTCAAGTCCTCATTAAGCAGGAGAAAAATGCCCCGGCGTGGATGTGCATAGATAACTATGTGGCTACACATCGACGCGTGAGCCCTGAGTGGCGGCAGAGCTGTGGCCGGACGCCTGCAGCGCACCCAGCCCAGGAGCCGCGCGGCTCAACTCGCGCCGCCGGAGCAGAGAGCCGGGCCGCAGAAACCCGCGCTCAAGGGCATTTAACTCTTTGAGAGCCAAAGCGAAGGCCCGGGGCGGCGAGGCCGGACGGGACACCCCACAGCCCCTCGGGGCTCAGGCCGAGGGCGCCTCAGGACTGCAGCACAGGTCCGGGTGCATCTTCTCGAGCTCCTCCGCTTTCCTCTGCTGCCTCCGCCTCCCCCGCCGCTGCCTGCCCCCGTCTCCGCCTTCCCTCCCCTCCCCGGCCTCGCGAGCTCCGGCGTAGCTGACTTCAACTGGTCCCGGAAGCGGCCGGGTCCTCCCTCTCCACAGCCCAAGAATGGTTCCCTCTCTAAGCTTTGTCTCTCCTCCTCCTCCTCCACTTATCAGTCCCACACGCCGCGGACGCCTCCTGTCATCGCCTCTCAAACCAACATGGCGGCAGCTGCCTGAGTCCGAGTAAGGGACCA